GGGCGGTTTGGCGATCTCTGTGAACTTGAAGTTAATCTGTATCATCTCTGCTTCCCTTAGTGACTGTGTTTTGTTTATTTGTTTGCAGTATTAGTTGTTTCTGTTGTTGCTGTTGTAAAACGGACGGCGAACAGTTTGAAAATACTGTAGAGGCAAGTGCCTCGTAAATGTTAGTTTAAGTTTAAGTGTTTTACGGCGCTCGCAATTGCATAAGGTCATTTGAGCGTGCGGTACACACCAAACATTTTCAGTTGATAAGAAATTTTGAATTTTGCCCAGGTGGTGGCCGAAGCCTACTCTTATCGATTTTAGACCGCCAAGGGACCTTGAACGTGCGCAACTTGCACACGGGACCTCCGAGATTTTCCGTCCTTGTCCCAGAAGGCAAGGGGTATGTCTGATCTTACCTACCAGAAGATCAGGAGTGTTGCTGAAAGACAGCAGTAAGAAGGAGCCACGGAGTAGCAGTAGGAAGGCTGCAGAAAGAGTCAGGAGCCCAGAGGAGGGACAAAGGAGGTGAGGGGATGGAGGCAGAAAGAGGAGACGAAAGCAGACGACAGAACATTGCTTGAGAGCAGAAAAGGAGGTGAAAGGAGACAATTTTAGAGAAGAACATCTTTCGGTCGCTATCCGGATTCGAACCCGGGACCTTTGAATGAGAGTCGAACAGCTTAACCTCTAGGCCACCAGAGCCCCCAGTAAAAATTTTACAGCACTTGTAACACTATAAGGTCATATAAGTGACGAAAATTAGAGGTGTTACAAGAGAGTAACAAACATAAAAAAGGAGGAGAGATCAGGACGGTAACTGTTTGATAGGAAAGGACCAAACCACGTCAGAGCACCCGCCCACAACCCACCTGGAAATCTGTAGCAGTAACGCTTATAGGAGATAATTCATTGTAATAGTTCGTAGGTCTACCTAGGGAAAATCTGTTTTCGCCATAAAACTTTCATTTTTGAGTTTTGTCGTACCCATTTATGTCACACCCGTTTTCGCCTCACTTTGATTCGATTACTTATAGATTACTCCACTTGCTACTCCGATTCCCAAATATTTTTATGATGCATGGAGAAAAAAAATCATTGTTTATAAAGACATCTACAGGCAGGTGGGAGTAGGATTTCGTGCAGGATAAAAATTTGTTTTAAAAGTTTGCAAAATGAATGTCTCTGATAAACAGTTTGAATTTTAAAAAATCTTTATAATAAAAATCTCGAGAAAAGCCTGTTCTAAAGTCAATCTACCACTTACTCATGAAATGATAGGCAATTAGAGAGAGAGAGAGAGAGAGAGAGAGAGAGAGAGAGAGAGAGAGAGAGAGA